CAACTGTCAACTGTAAACCTAAAAATTTACAGCCAATTTTGAAAGAGATGCTCTGGAAATTGTTATTGAATATGTCAATGCTGTTGTAATGAAATGCTTCTTCTAATTATGTGGTTATTAAATAAATAATTAAAAAATAAGCAAATAAATAAATAAAAATAAAGGTCTCAAATTTGAAGCATTTCTAAGCCACATTACGGTTATGCCTTAATAAAGAAACAGCCTGACTCAGCATCTATTTAAAGACAAGAGTAAACCCAAACTGCTGAGCACCTGTTCCTTCAGATGCCTCTCAGAACTATTCTCCCAAGCAAAGGCTTTGCTCATTCTGTTATTGAAACAAAATATCGCACACTTATTTTATCAGAGAATCTTGCCCATTGATTCCTAGACCTAGGATATCACATGCACAGTTACAAACAGATGTTTCTCAATTTCTCTATTGTTTGCAATGAGAAAAGCACACTGCTTTCAGCACTTTGATATGTAAAGCATTCATACACTATCTTGGATGGAGGGCAAGGAAGGGTCCTGAGGGATTAAGGTCATATGCCCTGGCCCCAAGAGAGAGCTTGTTTAAATAGTAACTTTTGGGTTACAAGGTTAGGTAAAAGTCTTTAGTCAGATTATATCCATATTACAAAAGTCATTCCTACACCAATTCTTATTTTGTTTCATGGTTAGGTAAAAGTCTTTATTCAGATTATATCCATATTTCAAAAGTCATTCCTACACCCATTCTTTTTTGTTTTTTCGTGTGTGTGTGTGTGTGTGTGTGTGTGTGTGTGTGTGTGTGTGTAAGGACAACTTTTGGGAGTTGTTTTTCTCCTTCTATCATGTGAATCCCAGGGATTCAACTTATATTGTCCAATCTGGCTTGGCAGCAAGGACCTTTACCCACTGAGCCATCTTACCAAGCCCAAAGGTTCCAATCTCAAAACAAGATTAATAAGTTATTTTTATTACAAAACAATCACTTTGGTATTTGTAATGGCTTGTTTAATTATTCATTGATTATTAAATGAACTTATGCATGTTTTTATAAACAATGACCTCCATATAAGGCTTATGGAAATTTTTCCTTTAAAATTGTTATACCAACCAATAATTTGATGAGTTTTTTTCCAAAAATGATTAAATTGTATAGATATTAAATTAAATTAAACTAAATTGAATAGAGGACAACTATGAAACAAAGCAGAACACTTGAATACTCTTCTACTTGAAGTTGGCTTCATTACTTCAGCTACCCTTCCCCTCTCTTGCCTCGGGAAACCTGAGAGTGGCTATGTATAGGTTTGTCCTTAGCAGCAAGTCAGTGCTGTTACTAAGTGTTTGTGACACAGGATAAGTAACTACCAATCAGAGAGAAGCAGGGTGACTGTGACACGTCACTATAAGTAGGAGAGCCACCCTCATTCTCAGACCCTTCTCGTCTCCATTCCTGAGGAGGAAAACAACACCTACAATGGCCAAATCCATCATCAAAAAGTACAAATACTGCAAAGGATACCTAAGCCCAGCCTTCAGAAAACAATTGCGTTGCTCCAGCATCAATTTTGGCCATAGAAATTACTTCCTCTACATAAAGAGGGTCATGAAGGAAGTCGTTCCCCAGAGACACATATCAGCTCGCACTGTGGACATCTTGAACATCCTGATCAACGACCTCTTTGAAAGAATTGCTACGAAAGCCTGCCACGTGATGTATTCCAGAAATCGCTGTACCCTCACCCTTGAAGATCTCGAGGAGGCCGTGTATCAGCTGTTGCCAAGGAAACTAGCTGAGTTTGCAGTGGCTTTTGGAAATGAAGCAGTCCACAGATTTTTCCACTCTTAAACTCCATGTACTAGCCTAATTGAAACTTGGGGAAAGTAAATCAAACTGTCAACACCTCAATGTTGTATTCACTCTCTTTTTGTAATATTTTTGTAACATAGTGGGATTTCCTGGTATTTTCCTAATTCTCTTATCTCAAGAGATAAACTATCCTGCTATTTTAACTATTTGACCATTTAGATTTTCCTGACACTGGCCAGAAACTTTTGTAATAGGGCACCTTCTTGACCATAGCTATGCCATGTTAAAGTTTAGGCTGACTCTGGTCTCTGAAATTATCAGGCAGTTGGCCCAGGATATGGGAATATATGCAAGCTGGACCCTAGTTGTCTTGGGAACATGTCAGAGCGTCCTAGAGTTCCTGCTAACTGCTGATTTATGGCTTCTGTAGGTTATACTCGGCAAAATAGTAATTGTTGCTTAATAGAATAGAAATTATTTAGGGGACTCTCCACCTGTATGTTTGGGAACCTAAACTTTTCAGTCCTGATTATAGTTTCTCTTTACAAAAAGTATCCCACAACATTTAGAAGTTCCTAAGATACAAAACCCCCCTAGAGGGAGCTTTGTGACCGGTAAAGACAAAGTAGAATAACAGTAAAATTGATAATGTCAGTTTATGAAAGAGGAGGAAGCTAGTTCCATGCAGGTGGGGGGGTTGGAAGGAAAATTGGAAAATTGTATTTTCTTAGGTATTTCCTTGATAATGTTTGCTCAAGCTTAACACTCAGTGATTGGCTTCTGTGTTCTGCTTGCTTGACTAGCAACATGATCAATATAAAAAGAGCCAGAGTGTTTAGGCTCAGTGCTGTACTCGGACCCTTTAGAAAAGAGTGTAGCCTGGCCGTGTAGCCCAGCCATAATAAATCTTTCTTTCTCCAGACTCACCTGTCTGTTTGTCTGTTTGGGGCATTTGTGGATCCCAGACTATAACACTGACACTGGCCAGAAACTTTCTTTTTCCTATGGATGTGCAAAGCTTGGTGCATAAATAAAACGTTAGTATCTTTAAGATATTGTTAACTACGGTTAGGATTTTTTTTTTTTTTTTTTTGAGACAAGGACTCATGTGTTCCAAGATTACCCTGAACTCCTGCTCCTCCCTCTACAATCTTAAGTGCTGGGATTACACATGTATGCCACCCATCCCTGGTTTATATGGTGCTAGGGATTGAACCCCTAACTTTGTGCATACTAAACAGGTACGTCACCCACAGCGCTACATCCCTAGCTCCTGTACAGGATTATTGGATCCAGCTATTTGACCAGCAGGTTGCACTGACTTCGAATTTAGGAAGACAAATATTTTAGTCAAAAGTGTACCAGCACCGATAAATTTTCATCATAAAGTATTTAGGGAGTTGGCAAGATGGCTCAGCTGTTAAGAGCACTTACTGTTATTGCAGAGGACCCAAGTTAGGTTCTCAGCATCCACATCAAGTGGCTCACACCATCTACAACTCCAGTTCTAGAGGATCCATTGCCCTCTTCTGGCTTCTGTGGGTACCTGTATTCACATGCACATACCCACACACATACATATAATTTTTTAAATAATATAAAAGCATTTTATAAAGCAAACATATTAACTATTTCCTTTTTGTTTTAATTCTTATTTCCTGCCTTTCAGCTATCCCAGTTGATGTCCATGTGATTCTTAACCTAAAGATTTATTCACTGAGGTAAACAGCTAATGGTTATAGCATAAAGACCCCCCACAACTTCCCACCCAATTAAGTTTCAGAGCTTTACAAAGGTTCTGAAGCTCTTTCCCAATCCCATCTCCTCATCTACTATCCTGAGGGTTCCTTACCCCCACCCTTTTATTTTCTTTGTGCTTTTGCTACCTATATATGTATCTAAACCAGCAGTTGAATTTTGCTTATTTTACAACATGGTATCATATTACATGTGTTCTTCTGTGCCTCGTTTTTCTCTTTACATTATATTTCTACAATTCAGACCTGCTGGTATCTATAGCTGCAATTAGTTTTCTTTTTTAATATATTTTATTGTTTTTATTTTATGTATATGCATGTATTGCCTGCATGTAGGTAAGTGCACCCATGTCGTGCAATGCCAATGGAGGACAGAAGAGGCCATCAGATCCCCTGGAACTGGAGTTACGGACAGTTGTTAGCTGCCATGTGGGTGCTGGGATTTGAACCCGGGTCTTCTGCAAGAACAACCAGTGTTCTCAACCTCTGAGCCATCTCTCCAGCCCAACTGCAATTATTTTTCACCCCCATGCAACATCAGATTCCATAACTGAGTTTATTATGCATCTTCTCTTGACAGAAGTTTAGGCTGGTTTCTGTTTTTACTAATATAAATAATGCTGCTATAATAACGAGAGTTGTGACAATAGCTAAGATAGTATTTGATACATGATCAACACCCTGCCCATCGAACTTAAGCCCCACAAAATCCATTTGTGATAGCAGGCCCCAGTGCAGCTGAATAACTCCTATTCCTAATGTTTTTTACTGTGCCTAATGTTTTTACTGTGTTTATCTTTTCTCTTTCTTTTTTTTTTTTTTTCTGTCTTCTTGAGACAGGGTCTCCTTGTAGCCCCAGCTATCCTGGAACTCACTATGTAGACCAGGCTGGCCTTGAATTCACAAAGATCTGCCTGCCTCTACCTCCCAAGTACTAGGATTAAAGGCCTGCTCCACCATGCCCAGCTTTACCGTGTTTTTCTACATTTATGTAAGCACATTTACCTTTGTGTTAGAGCAGCCTGCAGGGTTTCTTGTAAAGTTCCTTACAGGTGCAGAGCCCAAGAGCAGTAGGCCATATCATCTGAGCTTGTTTAGTGCAACCTCTGATGTTTGTACAACAACAAACCACCTGACAACAGAAGAGATACATAAAAATAAATACATTAATTACTTTTTAAAAGAACCACCTGACAACTAAATCAACTTAATGCATTTTTCAGAAAGACTGTATTCACTACCTAGAAGAAAAAGTTTGCCAAGTGCCAATTTACACAATGCCTACTTTTCAGAGCTTGCAGAGGTTTTCTAAGTTGCTGGTTTAGTTCTTTCCCACATAGAAAAAGGTTGTAGTTGACTTTTCAAATCACTGGGACAAGGAAAGTAAATGCAAATGGCATTCAATGATTAAGGCAATGGTCTAAGCATAGAAATTTTTCTTATAAACTGGAGTATTGACCTTGGGTGAAAGGAGTTTGATGTTACTCTCCACTTCGGTGTATGTTTTAAAGCATTTTAAAAGAATAGAATTTCAGGGGCTGGAGAAATGGCTCAGTGGTTAAGAGCACTGGCTGTTCTTGCACAGGACCCAGGTTCAATTCCCAGCACCCACATGGCAGCTAACAACCATCTGTAACTTCAGTCCCAAGGAATCTGACCCCCTCTTCTGACCTTCATGGGCACTGTACAACATGGGTGTATTTACCTATGTGTAGGCAATACATTCATACACATACAATAAAATAATAAAAATATTTTTAAGAGAATAGAATTTTAAAATAAGATCATTATTCTTGGAGGAAAAAATCTCAAATTAGAATTGTTTTCAAGTCTGATTATGCAAATGCACGTGTGCAAAATATGCCTACTGTTAGAATATTTAAACCATTTTATTATAAAATTATGTTACATAAAATATGCAAGTTTAGGGGGCTGGAGAGATGACTCAGTGGTTAAGAGTACTGACTGCTCTTGCAGAAGACTCAGATTTGATTCCCAACACCCACATGGCAGCTAACAACCATCCATAACTCCAATTCCAGGGAATCTGACACCCTCTTCTGACCTCTACAAGCATTGCATGACATGGGTGCACTTACATGCAGGCGATACACTCATACATATAAAATAAAAGCAATAAAGTATTTTAAGAAATACAAGTTTAGCCTTTTTTTTTTTTTTGAGACTGGGTCTCCCTGTTGCCTCAGTTGGTCTGAAACTCACTATGTAGACCAGGTTGGCTTTGATCTCACAGATATCTGCCTCCCAAGTGCTGGGATCAAAGGCATGTGCCACCATGTCTGGCAGGAACCATTTTTAATTACACAGCTTAGTTGCAGTAAATATACATACACTGTTATACAACCATCACCACCACCATCTCTAGAACCTATTACCCATTAAACAATAGTTCCCCATTCTCTTCTCTCCCAGACCCCAACAACCCCACCTACTTTTAGTCTCCATGAATTTGATTCTTCTGGGTACCACCTGTAAGTGAAGTCATACATATTCGTCTTTTTATAACTCATTTATCACTTAGCATAATGTCTCCAAGGCTCATCTGTGTTGTAGTACATATCAGAATTTCCTTCTTTTTAGGATTAGACAATATTCCTTTGTATGTATATAACACTTTTAGTCTACTCATTTATTGATGAATGATTGTGTTGCTTCCATCTATTAGCTATTGTGAATAGTACTGCTCTGAACATGATATGCTAATATCTGTCAATGGCTCTGCTTCCAATGCTGTGGAGCATATTCTTAAAGTGAAACTGGGGCAGATGATATGGCCCAGTGGGTAAAGGCCTGATAACCTGAGTTTAATCCCTAGGTCCCACATGGTAGAAGGAGAGAATTGACTCCTGCAAGTTGACCTCTGACCTTCGCATGTTCACACATACATGAAAATAAATAAATGTAATTAAAAAAATGAAATCACTAAATTTTATGGTAATGTTATTTTTAATTGTTTGAGGAACTACCACACCATTTTTCATAGCAGCCACATCCTTCACATTCCCAGCAGTGGGTGCACAAAGATTCCTCCACCTCTCAACAACTCTTATTTACTGGTTTTATAAATAAATACAAAATGCCCTCTTAGTGGGTATAATGGTAACTCCTTGTGATTTTTTATTTCCATTTCTTTTTCTTTTTCCTTGAGGGTTTATTTATATTTTATGTGTATGAGTATTTAGTTTGCATTTATGTACATGCACCATGTGTGTGTTGTGCACTAGGAGGCCAGAAGAGGACATTGAATACCCTGGAGCTGGTGTTACAAATGATGGTGAGCTTCCATGTAAATGCTGGAAACTGAACTAGCACCTCATGGAGGTGATGCACAAACTGCCATGTCTCCAACCCCTGATTTCCGTTTCTCTAGTGATCAATAATGTTGAGAGTCTTTTCATGTGCTTATTAGCTATTTCTTTGGAGAAATGCCTACTCAAATACTTTGCCCGCTTTTAAAATCTGGCTGTTTGGGGTTTTTTTCTTGATAAGAACTACAGTTTTTCCTTCTCAGATGTATGATACACAAATGTTTTTCTCCAATACCTCCTTCTCATTCTGTTGACAGTATTCTTTGAAAAACAAAAGTCTGTAATTTTGATTGTATCAGATTTGTTCATCTCCTACTGCCTGTGCCTTATATGTCACATTTTTTATTATTCTTTTCTGAAAAAAAATTACTTGTAGCATTAACAGTTTTCTTTTTCTTCAATTTCATTTATTATTTTTATTTTATGTGTATGAGTGTACTGCCTGCATGTAGGTAAGTGCACCCATGTCGTGCAATGCCCGAGGAGGTCAGAAGAGGCTGTCGGATCCCCTGGGATCTGGAGTTATGGACAGTTGTTAGCTGCCATGTGGGTGCTGGGATTCAAACCCAGGTCTTCTGCAAGAACAGCCAGTGTTCTTAATCACCAAGCCATCTCTCCAGCAGCATTAACAGTTTTAAAAAACATTTTGGAGTCAATTCAAAAAATCAATATATCACCTCAAATTTAAAAGAATCTCATGCTATCTCAAATTTAAAAGAATCTCATTTTAACCTCATGGAACTGAATCTTTTTACATCAACAGGGCTTGGATTTGTTTGTTTGTTTGTTTGTTTGTTTGTTTGTTTGAAATAGGGTTTCACCATCCCAGGCCAGCCTTAAGCTTTTTGGAGAATGACTCTGAACTGATCTTCCAGCCTCTACTTCCTGAGTATAGGCATTATAGGCATCATACAATACCATATCCAGTTTATAAAATACTGGGGATTGGTCTAGTGCTTTGAAGCATGAGCTACAATCCTCAGCCAATAGGGGTTTTTTTTTTATTTGTTTTATTTTGTTTTGTTTTGTTTTGTTTTAATGAAGCATTTCGGTCTTAAACCCTATTAGCCCAAGACAATTCAAGGGTAAAGACAAAATAATTTGCATTGGTCTTCTAACATGCATTTACTCCCTTCTTCCAGAAATAGGATCCATGATTTTAGCTGCAAACATGATCACTCAGGCAAAGACTATATTTCCAAGTCTCTTTTTGAACTAGGTAGGACTCCATACAGAAATTCTGGTGAATAGAAGGTGCATACAACTTTTCCAGAAGTGTCCTTAAACAGTAGCCAAATGCTCTTTTTCCATGAGTTTCCTGTTTCCTACTGGCTGACTGAAGATGTGAATACTGAAGCTGGAGCCGTTATTTTAAACTAGGAATTGAACCCTGTATAATTAGGATGGCAGCACACCAAGATGGAAAGCACACTGCTCTCTTATTATTGAACTGCCTTCCAGCCCATGGCTGCCTATGTTGATGTAAGAGAAAATTTAACTTATTTAAGCCAGTATTATTTTGAGTTATTATCATTCATACTCAAACTTAATTCTAATACAGACATCCAGAGATTACGGACTACCTCACAACGCAGTTAGCCTCAAGCTGATTGCACACTTATTGAATAAAAACATATTAACCTAGAAATGGATGATGCCTTGTGGATTGTCAGATAATATTGTAGCAAAATGAAATCTCATGCCATTTAGCCTTTCTTGGAGATACGCAATGCAGATGGCAAGAGCCTGCCTGCTTGTTATTAATGTGATTTTGAAGCAGTATTAATAACACAAAGATACGGATAGACTCAAGATAGGAAACAAAGTTTTGTACTAGGCCAACAATTTGAACAACTATGGATTTTGTGGCCATTTGAAACTAGTGATACACATTATCATAAGATATGTCACACACTAACAAGCAAGAACAATGCTGATTTTGTAGTGCAAATCACCCAACTATAAAAACATAGCAAACTTAGATATTCTTTTTTTAAGTTTGGAAAGCTTACTTTGGAACTAAATAATTCAATGTCTTACATAATATATATGCTGTCATTTACTATAATTGTTTAAAGACTTACTATATACACTGCTAGTTTGTTTTGTATGAACCCAATATATCAGAAAGTAGCAGAAAATAAGGAAAGAACCACTAAGTCTGTCTTATGTATGATGTTTAAGCAGTGTATTGAATACCTACTTTAAACCAGATGATAAGAAAACAAAAACAGAGCTTATCCCTTTAAAGGTTTCAAATCTTATGTACAGCAACTTAAAAATCAAAAATTATTCAGAAAAGCTAACCATATACAGAGTGTTCACACTGAGCTTGACATTATTGTAAGTACTTCACATATACATCTCCAATATAAAGTCAAAGCAATCACCAGACAGGTACTATCATTTGAATCATAGAAACTGAGGTATTAAAAAACTTTAAACTTGCTAAAGGTTACACAAATAGCAATAAAGAAATGTGATTTAAGCTGCATGTGGTGCTGCATGCTTGTAATACTAGCACTCAGGACACAAAGACAGGAGAGTGAGGAAGACATTCTAGACATCTGGGCTACGTAGCAAGTTTGAGGCCAACCTGGGCTATGTGAGACTCTTTAAGAAAAAAAAAGTGACTTAAAACCACCAATTCTGGTTCCAGAGTCCACAACTTAAACTCCAATACTACACATCATCTCATCTAAAGAGAAGCACAAAAAAGATGCTATGGAACATGGAAGGGATCGCTCATGCAGTCCAGAGAGTCATCGTCAGGGTCTTAAAAATGAATTGCTGAGCGGGGTGT